AGGGGCCTAGTTAAGTAATTATAATCCCTTATAAACTTTTTATAAAAATTATAAAACCTAAAAAAAAACTAAATATTTTTAAATAATATAGGTAGCTTTTAATTTTTAATTATAAAGACCTTCTCTTTATTAAACTATATACCCTCTATAAAAACTATAAAGCCTAAGTACTTTATAAAAATAACGCTAAACTTATACTTCTTAATATTTACTTATAAGCCTACTTTTTATAAATAGTCTAGTATTTTAGTAACGTACTCTTAGTATTAAAAGGGGTTATTAAAAAAGATTAAGATATTATTTATATACGCTATATAAAAGTTATTTAAATATTCTATTAATATTTCGTTTATATATTATTAATACGTAGCTAGCCCGTTATAAAGCCTAAAGAGTATTACTTTATATTTATATACCCCATAATAAGTTCTAAATATCGTTAAGTCCTTAAAAACTAAGTTAAAGTAAATATAATAAAAAGCCTACTTAATATCTAGTTTAATAAATACCTTTACCCTTCTTAACTGCGCAAAGGTCTTATTAATAAATAATAATAAGTAATAGTCTTTTTTTATAACTTTATTAAGCTTATAAAAATTAATATAAAAGCGTAAGCTATTATCGTACTTTTTTATAAATAGCGTTAGTAATATAAAAAGAGCATTACTTAGTTTAATAAATCCCTTTTATAAGTACTTTAATAAGTAAGCTCTTATAGCCTCTAGCTTTAGTATTAACTATTTATATAAAAGGTAATAAGTTAACTTCTCTCTACTACTATCTAAGAGCTCGATTTTATAATTATATAGCTTATAAAGTACTAATATATTACTAACTACTTTACTAAAGACGTTAGTCTAGGGCTATAAGTATTTTAATAAGTTTATTACTATAAAGTCGTAAGTAACCTAGTTATCGTTATATAAAGGGTCTACCTCTTCTTTCCTATTTTTTATAATACGGTCTAACTTATAAAATAATATAAAGCTTATTTTAATATCGTTCTACTATAAGTTCTTTTTAAATACGGGAGTATTAATAAAAGTAATATCTATTTATATTATTATTAAGTATAGTTAACGCTATCTAACCCTCTCTATGGGGATAATAGTAGTATTATTAAGGGTACGTTCTATTTTCCTTATATTCTTAGCCTTATCTAACTACTATATCTAACGGGCTATTATTTTTAGTAAGTATAATAATATCCTAGTTAGTATACCCTTTACCCGCTACTACTAGAGCTTTTAATTATAATAAGTTATATCTATTTTAAATAGGTCCTATTACTAGTTAGTATTAATTTAATATTATATATTAATAACTTTTAGGGTATATAAGTCCTTAATATCCTTAATAATAATAAAAAGCGTCTTTTATAATAATAGGTCCTTAGGCTATATTAGCTATTAATAATAAATATTAAAGTTTACCCCGTAATATTTAAACTACTTCTACCCTAAGATTAAGTCGTAGTAGCCTATATTAAGCTAAAAAAAAAGTATTTTTAAAAAGACCTATTAATTAATATATAAGTTAGCGGTCTATACTACGCTAATATTATCTAATCGCTCCCTATTAAACTTAATAATAAGGATTAAATATAGTAATTTATAAAATAAGGCTGCGCAAAACTATTATAATAAAAAGGTTATATAATTATTTATAAATCCGTACTTATTAACTCCTATATTAAATAAAGTTTTTAAGCAAATTTTATATTTATTAAATACTAATATAAGCTCTATTTTAAGGGGCTAGCCCCTTACGAAATCCTATAAGTTTACTAAATTAATTACTAATTTTCTATTCTTTTTATATATATTCCCTAGCTAGGAGTTTACTTTTACTAAGGGGTTTAGTTTTCTAAACCTAACTCTATTTTAATAAGGCCCGTAGTAATATTAATAGCGGCTATAGTAGTCTTTAGCTTTTTAAAATAAGTTTTAAAAATATATTTAGTATTATTATAAATAAAGTAAGTACTACTATCCTTAAGCTTCTAGTATAAAGCTTTAGGGATTGTCTCGTAAGTAAAAGTATAACCTCGGTCCTATTTAGTACTACTAGTACCTCTATTATTTTTATTATTTTTATTATTTTTACTTAAGGTCTAATAAATATAACTAAAAGCCTTAACTATATAATCCTTTATAAAAAGAAGTTATATTATATTAACTAACTACGTAACGTACTTAATATACTTCTAAAAAGTAGCTATATTATTTAAGTATTTTAATATAACCTAGTTATAAAAATATATAAGTAGCTTATTATAAAAATAGCGCTTTTATTAAAACTCTAAAAACTTATTAATATATATAAGCTTAGTAAATATAAAGCGCTTTTAATAAACGTTCTTAAATATAATTATAAGTATATCTAGTTTTTAATTAGTATTATTTATAATAATCGGGCTAATATAAGCTAACTTAAGCTCGTAAAGTAACTACTCGGCTATAATAATCTCGTTAGAAGTTAGTATTAAATATATAAACTCTATAATACTACCTCTAATCTTATTAATAATATACTCTAAGTAGTACTTATTAATATTATAATTAGTATTCTCTAAGCGCTTCGTAATATACTAAAGCTAGTAATTAAACTTAAAGCTAGTATTATTACTAATAAAAATAAGTATATTAGGTATTTTTTAAAAACTATAGGGGGTAAAATAAAACGAGGCTAGAATAGTTTTATAGCTACCCTACGTCTCTAAGTATACTAGCTATTACTTTAAAGTACTAAGGGTAGCGGTATTTTAAATAGAGCTAACCTAAGAGCCGTTCTCTAATTACTTTAGTCTCTTAACTATAGCTATATTACTAATATAGGCTTAGGTAAAAGCTTCTTTTATAATATAGAGCTCTATAATAATAGTGCGCATAAGGTTAAGGTTTTTATAGGTTATTATATATAAACGCTTAATATTATTACTTAGCTAGCTAATAATAAAAGCCAGGACTTACTCTAATTAGTACTAAATAATACGTATCTTTAGCTACTATTTAATCTATTTAAGTAGGGTCTTTTTATTATTTTTAAAATATAACTCCTAAATAAGGTTAATATTAATATATTACTTAGTATTCTTCTTAAAAAAGATATTATTATAGATATAAATAAGTAAAGTAAGCTAGTTAGTTACGTTATTAAAGTATACTAAGTAATTAGTTTAAGTAATAAAAAGTAAAAAGCGTTCTATTAGCTAGTTAAATAGCGTAACCTCGGGGTTAATTATTAAGAGCTTAGTACCTTTATTAGGGCCTATAATACTTTATTAAGACTTATAAAAATAGTAATTTTACTAAAAGCTATTAATATAAAAAGAGACCTAGCCTCTTTAGCTATATCCTCTAACTATTATATTTAATAAAAGGAGTATATATTTAAAGGGTATTAATTACGCTACTTATATATAATTAATTTAGTTAGCTATTACTTAGCTCTCTTATACGCTTTTTTAATAAGGGTAATTAGTAATTAATTAATTAAAATATTATTATTCCGTTTTTAAAAAATAGTTAATTAAGTAATATTAAGTAGTATTATAAAAAAAAACTTAAGGTAAGTTAGAACGCTATTATATTAGCCTAATTAACTAAAGACTTAACGTAAAGAGGGAAAAAACAGAATAGTAAGTAGAAGCTAGCGAGCTAGCCCTTTGGGCCTAGCAGTCTAGCTCGTTACGTAACCACTAGGAGCTCAGCCTCGCAGCCTGAGGCTAAGCCACGGGGCCCACAGGGCCCTAATGCCCACTGCCGTAACAGGAGGACGTTAGCAACTATTTCGTTAGTCCTAGTTAACTCATAAGGGTCAAATTACCTAGGAATAATTTTAATTATATTATTATAATAGTAAAAAATAGTTAAATAATTAAGTGTAGTTAGTGGTAATGTTTTAAGACTATGATATTGAGGGGGGGCTAAATATAAGGGGGGGCCAAAAGGGGGTGGGGCGACTTATGTCGTTGAGAACCTGGCTCTGAGCTGGTGCGGGTGAGGGGTTTCATGCAACCTGCTGACACTCTTGAACTCTGACAACATTGCATTTCGGGCGAGAGACACTGCATTGGATAGACCCCCGAAAAGGCATAATTCCGAACTCTCAGTCCGGTCCCCTTCTCTTCAGTTCTAGGTTTGGTCAAATTAACTGTACTTATTCACAACACGGTCATCTCATGATTGTATTTATAGTTGAAAATTGAAGCAGATACGTGCGACTTCCATACTGTTACATCGATTCGACGCTGGCTGTGCAATCCAGGAAACAACGTCTATCGGACACGCCTATCTGACCAACTGACATCTACGGGAGGAGCCGCACGATGGGACTTTGCGCTAGAACATAATCGGCATCCGTCCCCTGTCCTCGTCCTGTGTTTCACGGATAGCTATCTGAACATTTTCTTTGTGCGGTGTCGTCCTTTGCAACGTTATGCATTAAGTCGCTTTGAGATGAGCTCCTGGATCGAGCTTCTTGGCAGGCCGCGTGGATGCAACTTCGGACTTGACCCATTCGTACAAGAATTTGGCGGTGACATTTGGCAAGCAACTTACGGATGCCTGTCCGGACGTAGCATGTTGATCCTGATGCTGGATCGCCCATAGAAATAGGCAGTTGAAGAGCATCTTCTTAGTGTCAACTCAAAAGCCCGTGGGTTGCGCGGGGTCCGCTTGACTGCATTGATCCCACATGACGACAGTCTTTCTTGTCGCTTGCATATATGAGATGGGTCCCGACCTGAGCTATCAGCATACAACTATACCCAGCTTCTTTCCTAAAGCAGGAGCTCGATTTTGAATGCTACGATACCTTGTATGCCGGTGACCAAGTATCATCGACATCCATCAGGCCCCCGAAGTCACAGGCTTGGTGTAGTGACTTCGCCTGGGAATAGATAAATGCAGCAACAAGCCTTCAGAGTGAATCGATTGTTCCTCACAATCATTTCATCCATTGTTCAGATTAAGAATTCTTATCCAGAAATTGTTACCATGGCAATCGGGTACATCCTCGGCCTTCTTGCCCAGACTCGGCTGGGTTTTGCGTCTGAAACCTCCATAACTGCGGGATGCAGTCAAGCAGTGAGATATCCTCAATTTTATGAGCCCTCTAAAGAGTTCCCTGTACTGATCGACCAGCTAGTGCTCTCAACTGATGGAGGAGTTCGGCTCTGCCGTACATTTAGGTAGCAACGATCCTTCCTTTGCGATATGGGACATGAAGCAGCAGGAGGTTCTCCCCGCCTGCCGCGTAGAGCCGGCTACCGCGTCTCAGGTCTCGAGAGTCGTTGAGATCACTGTCAACAACTGGTGCCGATTCGCGATCAAAGGCGGGGGACACATGACAAATCTGGATGCTTCCAACTCAGTCGGCGGTATCACGATCGACTTGCACCTCATGGACCACATTGAGATTTCAGAAGACCGCACCAAAGCTAATCTCGGACCTGGTCATGTTCTTCGCAACGCTTATTTGGCACTGGAGAAGCATAATCTCACGATGGTTGGCGGGAGAACTGCGGATGTTGGACTTCCCGGATTCACGATCGGCGGCGGACTCTCCGATCTTGGACCGCAATACGGCTTGGCTGTGGATAATGTGTGGGAGTATCAAGTAAGCACCTCGACCTCATAGGCAACACACGTTGCGTTACCTTACAGAAAGCTCCTAGCTGACTCACTATACAACAGCTTGTGCTGCCAAATGCCACCATTGTCAATGTCTCGGAGACTGCCCACCCAGACCTGTACTTTGCTTTGCGAGGGGGTGGTAATAACTTCGGCATCATCACCAACTTTCGTTCGCGGCTTGTGCCGCAAGGACAGAAATGGGGTGGTGCAAGGACCTATCATACTAACTTCACCGACCAGCTCGTTGATCAGTCTTATCAACTTGCGACCAACTTAGCTGCCGACACATACATGTCCTTTTGGACTCGCAACTCTTACGATGTTGCCAACGGCCGATTCAGCATGAGCGTCTCGCAAGCGTACTATGAACCTATCGTCGAACCACCTGTCTTCACCGAGTTAAACAAAATCCCTTATGAGACGAGCAATCTTCGAGTCGATTGGATGAGCAACCACAGTCTTGACAGTGTCTCTCCGCATGGACTACGGTAAGTCGACCTCCGAACCCTCAGCACATTTGCTGGCCCATTGAGACAGGTTCTGACTACCCGGATGCCAGTCGTGTCTATGCTTCTTTCACTTTCCGCCCTTCCCGCGTTCTGCACAAGCAGTTGATCAACATTTACTCAGAAGAGATTGAGGGCGTCAAGACCACTCCGGGTCTCTCGTCCTCGCTTGTTGTTCAGGCCTTGCACAAGAATGCTATCGATGCCATGAAGGTCAGAGGAGGAAACTCTCTCGGAGTCGAGTCCGATGGCCCGCTGATGAGTATGCTTTCCGCCATTTATCTTACGTACTATCGAAGTAGAGCACATGCTGACTATCCTTACCACCGAAAAGTTGCGCTTCTCACTCTTGGATGGTCCAAGTCGGAGGATGATGCGGCCATGTACGCCTATGCCGACCGAATCATCAACCGAGGCAAGGCAGAAGCCGAATCGATGGACTTGCTGCATCCTTGGCTGTATATCAACTATGCGAATCACAATCAAGACCCATTTTCAGGATACGGAGAGAAGAATAAGAACAGGCTCCAAGAGATCCAGAGATTAATTGACCCGCGGGGAATCTTCACTTCCCAAGGCCTGGTTAGAGGATCGTTCAAACTGAACTGAGTCTTGTTCAAGACCTATCCACTTCGTAGGCTACCTAGATAGAATGACGGGTCAACAAATTCAGCCTTCAGAAACGCGTGCTCTATGTACATAGACGGATCTTGAGCCCAATTATAATGAAAGACGATATGTCTCGGTTGTACTCAGCTAAATCCCGCTAGTCATATCTCAAATTACGACTCAAAGATGCTTGTATCTTGGACAGACTGCCATTTCACGTATACCAATCCACGAATGGACAGAAACAGTAGCTCATGCCCCGCGTTTGGAAGAGCAAGTTGTCATAGATTGAAGCACGACGTCGATCCCACAATCAGATCGCCTTATGATCCGTAATCCCACGCGGCTACCCGGATGTCATCATTCGGATTCAGTCTTGTCATGCCATCGGGGCCGGGCCGGTAGATTCAGTTGGTCGGAACCCGCCGGGCCGGTTGACCCACATCAAATGGGGCCGGGCCGGCCGGGGAGCGAGGAAATTCCCGCTCTATCCCGCGCGCATGATGGGATAGGATGGTAGCCTGGAGTACCCATGACTAATAGAATGGAACCGAGGATAATTCTCGATTGATCGAGCCCATCTGCACTCGTATAGTGTCGAGTTAGGGGAAGGTGTTTCGACTGCGGGGTTGTATATAAACTGCCCTCCGTAGTTCCGAGGCATTCACTAGCGCCAATATCTCCTGCATGAGCCTCGGTGGATTTGATGCACGACCGGCAGCCGGATCGCCGTCGATTCGCGTCCCCGCAATGCTCCGAAGCTCGGCTTTCACCGCTACGAGAATGGGGTGATTCAAGGAAACTAAGAAACATGGCCAAAGACGGCGGGATATATAAAAATAAGTCCCGTGTTGTAGAGTCTTAAAACCAGCTACTCCACTTTTCTTCCTCCCTCTCAATAGATCGCACAAAGCCAGAAATAAGTGCACATCACATCACTAGGGCACAAAATGGCAGACGTCTTCGCAAAGCTCCAGGACAAGAGCCTGCTGATTTCTTCTGGTCTCGTCGCCGGCGAGTGGAAGAATGGTCAGGATGGCAAAACATTCCCCGTCTACGAACCGTCAAGCGCGACGGTCCTCCAAGAATGCGCCAACTTGAGCCGGCAAGACTTCATCGATGCCATCGAGAGCGCCAAGAAGGGGTCAGCCAAGTTCCATGAGTCGACAACAGCAAAGGAGCGAGGCGCCCTGCTTAGAAAGTGGTTCGACTTGGTCATTGCCAACGCTGACGATCGTGAGTGGATTCGCAACATTAGATGACTACCTGCTAAGGAATTGACAAACTAATGCCCTCTCAGTGGCCCTGATCCTATCTTTGGAGAATGGCAAGACCTTTGCCGAAGCCAGAGGCGAGGTCGTTTACGCCGCTTCTTTCATCTCTTGGTTCGCTGAGGAAGCGACACGGTCATACGGCGATACTATCCCCTCATCCTACGCCAACACCACCGTCTTGACCTTCAAGGAGCCTGTGGGTGTCTGCGGAATCATCACCCCTTGGAACTTCCCAGCAGCTATGATCACCCGCAAGATTGCCCCAGCCTTCGCCGCGGGATGCTCAGTAATCATCAAGCCACCAAGCGAAACACCTTTTAGCGCTCTGGCTCTGGCTAAGTTGGCACTCGCTGCCGGGATTCCGTCAGACATCATCCATGTGGTGCCGACAAAGGACAGAGAGGCGTCGATGGAGCTCGCCAACAATCCCATTGTGAAGAAGCTTAGTTTCACTGGGTCAACTGGGGTCGGCAAGATGCTCACTAAGGCTGCGGCGGGTACGATGAAGCGCGTGAGCATGGAGTTGGGCGGAAATGCCCCGTTCATCGTCTTTGATGATGCGGATATCGATCAAGCTGTCGAGGGTGCTTTGATTTGCAAGTTCAGATGTTCCGGACAGACATGCGTGGTAAGTCTCTCCAAAGGTAATGATATCCTAGAAGTCGGATTAACAGATATCCTCAGTGCGCAAACAGATTGCTCGTCCACGAGGCGGTCAAGGACCAATTCATCGAGAAGCTCGTAGCCCGCGTAAAGCAGTACAAGCTCGGTCGAGGAATCGACGAGGGCGTCACACAGGGCCCTCTCGTTAACGCCGCCGCCGTCCAAAAGGTCGACGCCCACGTACAAGACGCGCTGAAGAAGGGTGCCGTCCTTCACACGGGCGGTAAGGCACCAGAGGGGCTTAAGGGGTACTTCTACGAGCCTACAGTGATCAGCGGAGTCACAACCGACATGGAGGTCGCACATGACGAGACCTTTGGCCCGCTGGCGGCTATCTTCTCCTTCAAGACGGAGGCAGAGGCCGTGGAGCTGGCGAATGCTACAGAGTACGGCCTTGCGGGCTACTTCTTCAGCAAAGACATCTCCCGAGTCATGCGTGTAGCGAGACGATTGGAGTGCGGCATGCTGGGCGTTAACACCGGTCTCATCAGCGCGGCGGAGGCACCGTTTGGTGGTGTGAAGGAGAGTGGACTTGGTCGGGAGGGCAGCAAGTATGGACTGGCAGAGTACCAGAACATCAAGTCTGTTACGATTGGTAACCTTGGCTTCAACTGAAGAGTCATGGCATGTTGGCTTCTGATAGTGGGCAAATCTGGGGTTTGGGGCTGGGCGTTTACTGTGATGACATAGTCTGCGGGATGGTGTATTGGCACAAAACAAAAATTTCGAGGTTTTGATTCAAGTGTTTATCCCATCTTCACGCCGTTTTGATACCGCATGATGACGTCCGTGAACACATAGTTCCACCCCGCGCTGATGTCCCAATGCACAGACGAAGCTAGAATCAGCCTACCCCGTGCTCAACTGTTGCCACGCATGTTTTCTGATTTGACTTGGTTGAAAAGTTCTAATTAGACTCTTTGCGAGTAATTAAAAGAGATGGGGTAAAAAATCTAATCTTTCTGAATGATTTCATACAGTCTCCCGTAACTCTGCCCAAAACTCCAGACGTAACCGTTCCCAAACCATGCACCCTTTCAGAATTCCCCCAGAAACAACAATCCCTATCCCAAAATTCCATTTCCATTACACACCGATGATGCAACCGACCTTTTTATCCAGCCATGACAACTCCGGTCTTGCTAGCTTGCTTTTCCAGATATCCCCGATGCTCCGGTTGAATGACAACCAACTCCGTTTTTGTTACGCCGGCGGCAACTGCGCCCTTCGCCAGCTCCTCTTCTATCCTCTTCAAACATTGGTTCGCTGGAGATGGCTTGTGCACTGTCAAGAGCTTGACGGCGCCAATGGCCTTCTCCAACGATTCCACATTTCCTCTGTACGATTCACAAGGGCTCGGGAGGGTAATGTCGACCTTTCCCTTGGCGAGAGATCTCACTAGTGACCCGAGAAGCATGCTGTTGCACTCCTCGGCGTCTGGTGAGCTGTGGTAATATCCTTTCATGTATCTACATCCGTCTTTGAGACATCGGTAAAGGAGGACGAAGTGGTCCAAGTAGGCCGAGACTAATGTTTGGCGGTGCTTGGCGATGGTTTCTGTGGACTGTCGTGTTAGCGATTTGACGACCTGACTGAGTTGATCGGCGGAGCAAACTTACCAAAGACTTCCGGGGGCCGAAGGTAGACAATCTTTTCGAGAGGAAAATTGTATCCCTCTGGCCCAGGCTTCCAGATGCGTGCCAAGTGTCCAAATACGATCCTTCCTTGGAGGTCAATCATTGACTCGTAGGTGATTTTCCTGTACATTGTCTCAAAGACTTCTGTGTCTCCAAGCTCCCAAGCAACGCATAGCAGATACGCATTGTCGGTCTGGTGCTTGACGCCCTGCATCCACGAGCGCGCCCATGGGCGAACGATGACGGTCATGTCGTACTTCTCCGTGATTGTGAGGACGTTGTAGAGACGCATCAATGGTAGCTTCTCCGGGACGAGGTTGAAGTGGCCATGAACGATGTTCAGTACGATTTCCATTGCTTCTGGTGAGTCTTCGGGCAGGTCGACGGCCCACTCTCCCGCACCCTCTACCGGACGAGCCTCAAGGAAGCGACCAAATAGCATGGCCTTCAGCACAGGAGAGCTTCGACCAAGGGCCCTTGAGCAGACGACGAAATCTTGTGGGTGTTCTTCAACGTCGCTGCCGACGGAGAGTCTCAGGTCGCCGCTGTCATCGAGATAAATGGTCGGCGCTGAAATCAACTGAGCCACTTCTTCTGTTGGCTCCGTCACTTCTGTGATCTCAGTCACCGATTCCGTGACCACCATGGTGGAAGAAGCCATCTTGCTAGCGATGACAGCTCCGTCGAGGGTATGATAGGGCAAGGAGAAGGACTCGCCCCCGAAGAGGCTGTTGGCCGGAGCTGTTGAACACATCGCGAACTGGCTATACGATCGGCTGAGGTTTCGTCCAAAAGTTCTGCTCACAACAGACCTCGTGAGAACGGAAGAGCGACGGGATCGCGTTCAGTTTATCATTACTTGACGGACGGGCGAGATCTAGGGTATCACACACTCGACGAACGGACCGGGATGTCGTCGCTTCGGCAGAGGCATAAAGGGGACCGCAGATCACAACGTTGATGCTCCGATGACATGACTAGTCTTTGTTCGGGAATCGGTCCCCTCTTTTTTCTAACTTTAGGCGAGAGATGGTGGGACGGCGCAAGTTTTTGGGACGAAAGGTATCTTAAACAATGCGTTATACCTGTTGGTCCCAATGACCGTTTGCTGCCCGACCGGGCGAGATACTCACGGGGCATGGACCCGTTGAGTGTCAAGGCATGTACATAAATGACAGTAATTAGGAAGGGAAATACATGTTATGGAAAGGAAGGAAAGCAAGCTGCCCTCTCACAAACGGCGGTGCTCCAGCGCGGGTGCAACCCTGGGAGCCTTGGAAAATCGTAATAATGTCGCTTTCAAGAAAATCCGGGTTCTTTGTGAGATGCAAACAAGGAACACGGTGGAACGGAGGTCGGAACAAGCAAGATGTTGAAAAGCAGGGCAGAAAAACGGCGTTCGGACCCTTGCTCGGCCAGGATGGTG